TCTCTGACTTTGAGCTGGACTTTTAGTTTTAAAACCGGGCGGTCCTGGGAATAGCGAGCGAGTTGTGCCCTAGGGAAAGAGGTGTATCTGCAGGGACAGGATGTGCTTGGTGTTGTGTTCTGCCTGCAAGTGGGTGACCTGGCGGGTTGGCATTGAATGTGGGTTTGGAGCAGGAAGGTCCAGGAGCCCCCTCCCCTCTCCCAACGTGCCCCCTGCTGAGGGGTCCTTGGGGAGGGGTGCATGTGCCAGCAGCGGGCACAAGTGTCTGGCTCCTCACAATCCAGCTGGCTCGATCCCTGACAAAAGCACCTCGCTGTTTTAACTTGCGCTCTCCTGATTACATGTGGGGCCAAACCGAAAAGCATATTGGCCGTTTGTGTTTCTCTCCCTGATTGACATTCCTTAGGGGTTTTCGTGCTTTTCTGCGATCTGCGTTTTAAAACAGCATCATGTCTTCCTTCTAACAGTAAAAACACTACCCATGCCACGCACACAACTTGGGCATCGTAGAAAAGTGTGCGGAAGACAGACTAATATTAACTGTCACCCCTGCTGCCCAAAGATGGCTCCCCGTAATTATTCCGAGTTTCTTCTTGGGTCTCAACTGTTGGAAAGTGTCAGTTCAGCTCGGCAGGTCAAAATGTGGACGTGTTTTATTTTTATAGCAACGTTGCCTCAAACTTTTGCTCCTTATTAAGTAGTGGAGAGAACTGAATCAAGTAAGGATGAATGGAGCACGACGTGAATCAGTAAAACCACCAGATTCCCACTCTCTCCTACTCTCAGATACGGCAGTCACACCTGTCAGAAGCTACACGAGGTGTTGGCTGCTGACTCGCTGTGAGGCACCGAGGAAGGCCCCTGCCCTTTCCGGCCCCAGCTCTTCACCTACAAATGAAGCCGCGTGTTGAGACCACCCCTAGGATCGTTCTTGGCACCAGGGCGGTGCTGCTCTGACGAATTCCCGGTCAGTGTGGAGCCCCCCGCCCCCGCCACGTACCTTTGCACAGGACTCAATGGAACTGCAGTCGTCAAACCCTTGGCAAAAGATCGTGGCCAGTCTCCTGTCCAGGTCTTGAATTTTGGTCTCAAAATCAGCATAATCATCATCAAAACTCTGAAAGTGAATTAAAACACCAACATTGTCACCAGCATGCAAAGCCAGGGGCATGCTCCCTCTGACACCCATGGCCCCGCCCCAGGATTCGGGCGACCTCTGGACTGGGCAAGCTGTCCCTGGAGCTGCTCCCCAGGCAGAATTTCTGTGACATCTTTTTTAAAAAAAAAGTTCTGGTGTCACCTGCCACCTGCCCTCCCTCTGTGCATCTTCCCAACTCTCGGGCCAAGACCCCTGACTTACCGAATCTCCAGGGTCCAAGGGGTCGTATCTGCAGTCGGCGAAAACCTTCACCAGCTCGAAGACCTCCTCGCAGAGCTGAGTGACCCGGCTTCCCAGGATGTTCCCCCGCACGCCTCCAATCTCGATCTTCTCCAGCTTCAGAAACTCAATGGCTGTTTTATAAAGATCCTAGGGGAGGCACACCCAGCACCCCTCATCAATTCATCTTCCCAACTAAACCCAATGGGGCTGTCTTGAATTGAGCCCTGACCCCAGCAGGGAGGAGCCAGGCAGTGAGACACCCAGGGGCCACACGACACTCTGGAGGGACCCTCTGTGTCTCTGTGTTAAGGTGCTCTAAAGATTTTTCTGCAACACAGAGAGAGGCAGAGGGAAGGAAGGACTCCGGGGTCATCTCCCAGTTGTGACGTGGAGGAGGAGATGAA